TAAAAATCTTATTTCCTACGATGAATATGATAATAGCTTTAGCGTACAGCTGCGGTTTCCTTTTTCGATAAGCAGCTACACTTTTATGTCGTTCTCAGATTCGTACCTCTTTGTCCCATCTTCAATCAAACTGAAAGAGAGTATCCTGATTATCCGACGGTCAGATAATCGAATAGTCAGATAATACGGAAGACTGGTAAAGACGACGAAAGTACATATCAACTCAATTTACGATATTATTAAATTATGAAGAAAATATAATATGGAATCAAATTTAAAAATATCACAAACAAAACAGCATTTAACACAATGCAAATTTTCAAATGAAATTTTATTTTTTTAAGAAACTTATAATGGGCATTTCTCTCCGATAGGTTCAGAGTTGACTGTTGATAAAATGGAGAGTTCCGACTTGGAACGTCAGGTAAGATAGGGTGTGAGCTAACCCAAGGTCGGATAATCGGTATAATCTGTATTTAGCAGGAGCACTGTGAGACTCATAACCGGTTTACCGAATAACCTGAGATATTTCGTGATATCCAAGGAAAATAAATCTAAGAAAAGCAGTTAGGACCACTTATTGTTTCGCGTTTAATGTTATTTTATTATGTACTATCCTTCTCTCATTTCACTCGATAATTAATAAACTCTGTAGAAGATATTTTCGTCAAACAATCTACTAGTGAGACCCATTTACTTAAACTATTTATATTACAAAATTTTATAGAATAGTATTTGCCAATAAAACTAAAATGTTATCACTACGAGGTTTCAAATTGTACTAAGTAGTTGCTTAAAAATTGTATAATTATTCTTAAAGTATAATATTAAACTATCTATTAATCGTTGTGGTAAAGTTAAATTATATTGGAAGAGCTTTATCAATTTAAAATTACATTCAGGATCAAATTAAAGGCAGATTAAATTCTATTATCAGTTTTCATCTTTCACTTAATTTCACTGTCTGAGTGACTATTAGCTTTTCAAGGACACTGATTCTTAGATTTATTTAGGCATACTTTCTTAAGATGTTTTACTACTAACTTCAACGTTTTACTGCATTTAACGGCAACTATATGCATCACAAAACCAACGATTAACCTAACCTAACTTTCATATTTTATTTTTTATTTAACATGTTCAAGAAAGTAGAAAAAGAAAAAATAATTCATCAATTTCTTCAGAAATTTTAAACAAATTAAGCAGGGCAGCCAACACAAGTAACATGTACAGTACTGATATAAGAAAATACCTCGTTGCCCAGTATTTTTACAATTAACTCCACTTAATAGAATCGTTCTTGAGAATCCAACAGTTCTTCAGTTATCCAACGAAATTAGAGTGACATTTAACTGTCCTTCCGCAAAAATATTTTATCATCGAAATTACTGAGAGTATTTAGATTATATTTCGTATATGAGGGTCTAATAGCCACGGTGGTCTAGCGGTTAGAACGCTGGCCTTGTAATCCTGGGGTGTCGGGTTCGAATTTATAACTTGTGTTGGGCAAAGCCGTGGTCTAGGCAACGCGGAGTTTTCCTCCGTGGCATCCCAATAATTACTCCATTCACACACAGAAGAAGGCAGTGGCAAACCACTTCTGGATCATCTGCCAAGCACGTATATGAACAGGTCCCAGTCCGAGAAAAGGATGGAAGGATCCTGTTCATATGGACCTGTCGTCAGACAGAACACTAAATAATAATAAGATGAGGGTCTACATTAATAGTTGTGAAGCTAAATTACTATTAATATGTAAGCTTTTATGTTAACTGTGTTAGCCCGGCTAACATTTTAATCAACGCAAAATAGACAGTCTTCTGTTTTACTTTCATGATTCAGTGGTATTCCACACACTAGGACACGACATAACCAATCAGATAAATTTATCTTCTGACAACCATAGCCAGCCAAGTGTTGTTAGCCAGTTAGTTGAGGCTTACGCTCGTGCGAGTGCGTGCTGACTGCAACTGATTAACAATGCATTTTTTCTTATTTCTGCTGTGTTCCAACATATGGAGTAACAATGAACCACGAAAGTAAAATAGATGACTTTTTTGGGTTTTAAAGTGTTAACCGAGAAAACATGGTTAACACGAAAACTCAGCCCCTGGAAAACGTGTTGAATATGAATACGCAACTGTTTTTAATGTGTTAGGGGCAAGCTTCAGAGAAATACTGTAAGCAAGAATGGTTGAGAACCTCCTCGACTCATAACTCCTCCTACTTCTGCACATTTAATTTTTCTATTTTCAAACGGTGAAGCAATTCGATTGATAGATGAGACGATAGAAAAACTAAATGTATGCAGCAACCACAGAATCGGCCTGAAAACTTTCCTCTCCCATATCTTTTGTTCTGCAGTAAGCAGTCGAAATCCGATTAAAAGTAGATGAAATGGGCTGAACAATGAAAAAGGCACCCGCATATAAAAACACCAGTTGTCTTATTTTATTCTACAGATTTCCCTTCACACAAAGACAAAGTTTACTAGATTTTCATTTAAATTAATCTAACAATAAAACTCACTCACTTTATACATCTACCACTTAAAGATTATAATTACAAAAACAAGAACGATGTTACGCATAAAACATAAGCTTTCTCCAACAATAACTTAATTTGCTTCACATAATAATATATAATAATAATATATAACTTCTAGCGGTTAGAACGCTGGCCTTGTAATCCTGGGGTCTCGGGTTCGATTCCCGGTGGTGCCCGAATTTATAACTTGTAACTTGTGTTGGGCAAGACCGTGGTCTAGGCAACACGGAGTTTTCCTCCGGGGACTTCCCCGGTTTCTCCGTGGCATCCCAACAATTACTCTATTCACACACAGAAGCAGGCAATGGCAAACCACTTCTGGATCATCTGCCAAGAACGTATATGAACAGGTCCCAGTCCGAGAAAAGGATGGAAGGATCCTGTTCATATGGACCTGTCGTCAGACAGAACACTAAATAAATAAATAAAGACATTTATCTTCCATTTAATACCGCGATGTCTTCTCTACATTTTGTTATTTTTAATCATGGTGGGAAAAACAAGATGGATTCTTATGCAGCTGATATGACGTAAAGCGTGATCATCTTCCACGGTACGCGTAAATCAGCTGGAGGACGGATAACACAGTTTTAATTAAATTTAACATTAGAGAGTTTTACGATAAATAGTCGAAAGTTATTATTTTTTATTTATATCGAACAATTTTAACGACAACTTTGCTTAACATCATAAATAAATGTATAATAATTAATAAATTACTAGCTTAAAGACGTGCATCAGAATTTAGTTTAAACAGTCCTCAGAGTCGACTTGTCCTATTAATACAGAGGACAGCCTACAAGTTACCTTCGTTTGTATTGTCGGGATTCGCATGTAATCCATCACGAATGGGACATGTGATGTAGCTATTACATCTCTCGAGGCAGTGAGACAAAGGTAATGACATTTTTAAAGACCACGGAGCGTTATTATCAGACAGGATCAATGCTATTATGCACAGCGGCAATTCATCTACCACATAGATGCAGGCACATGTGCTAAGCCAGTGCAATACAGAGTGGACATACATGCAAGTTATTTACATCGTAAAACTTACGACAAAATTACCTTAAAACGATGTGAGATGGCTGTATGATTCTTTTCTGGGTA